TTTGAGCTCCAACGTCCACTGCGACACTCAATTGTTTGGCTACCAACCAATGTGTACCCAGCATTGCATGTAAAGTTCACCGTTGAGCCAGATTCGAAATTTCTACCATGCTTTGCACCGTTTCGAGGAGTTCCAGGGTGGTTGCAGATTGCTAAAAAGTAACAATGAAAAATTGCTCAGGAAAAGCATCGACTGAAAGTCGTATGAATCGCAGAAAAGTGCTGGAAGATATTGTCAACTTTCTATGGTGAAAATTAACTCTTTATGATCGAGACCTGTTTGCCCATCACTGATATGTAAGCTTGTGCCAGCGAAAGGAGGAGAATCTAAAAAAATGCGGATGCCGGGCTTAATTAGTTCGTAGTGGTGATTTTATTTTGTCTTTGAACAAGCGAGGATAAAAAGCCAAAAAAATTCAATTATCTGTGTTGACGAGCTTCAAAACGAAGAAATAGCCACAAAAAAGGACGTTTTGGCTAACAATTTCTTGTTTATCGAAAGCATCATTTCTTCAAGCGAAACGTCTATATAACGTTAACTTAAAATTATTTCAAGTTCTATGCAATAACTTAGTAACATCCGACGTTCTATTTACACAACACTCATGACAAGCTCACATAAACTATACCTGTACATACGGGAATTTTACCGCTCCATCTTCCATCATTGCAAGTAATGCTCCTAGCCCCTCTCAGCGTAAAACGAGATTCACAAAGAAACTTTACTGTTTTGCCATGACGGAAATCACTGCCAATTCTACGACCGTTTTGTAGAGCTCCGGGATCAGCGCAAGTCTCTAAATAAATTTAATAGTCACAAAATATTTCATTCTCTGTGCACGACTGATACGTTATATAATACTTCTAGCTTTAATCAACAGAATTTTTGCAAACAACAACAACAATAACACCAAACTCTGACCACTGTTATACCGAAGAAGCGCTCTCACCAATTTAGCTTTCATCTTCATCTTTCAATTCCGGTATATTACGAACCAATTTAATGACCAGTTCCCAGTTGACTTGTTAGCTTAATTGGTGATAGCGCTGCACCAGAAGTCAGGGTTGGAATCCCGGCAAGCCTGAATTTTTTCAGGCTTTCTCTTTGGAGCTGTATAAGCAGCGCGCCTTCAACTGCGATGATTTTCCCTGCATTTATTTGTTCTTTTAACTTACTTTTGCACTGTGGAGTTGCTGAATTCCACTTTCCTCCCGAGCAGGTTATTGCTCGACTCCCGATCAAGGTATAACCATTATTAGGTATTTTTATTTATTTGCCACACAATTACATTACTTAAAGATGCCAAAAGAAAAAAAAAAAATGTAGGAAGAGATGGCGAGGAGGCCTAAAAGAAACTATAGAGCTTATGTTAATTAGGCCTCCTCAATTACAATTTTTCGAAGATGGCATAAAAATTACGGCGACGGGTACAGTATAATATCAGGTGAAAAATTAAACTAATCAATATTACGGAAGTTTACATGTACAAATGTTGAATATTAAAAGGCTTTTTCCAAAGATTTTTGTTGAAGTATACTAATAATTATTACAAATAAATGCCTTAAGTGCTCTTTTAAAGGAGAAAGGTGAGGAAGCGTTGATGATGTTGGTGTTTAAGGTGTTGTAAAATTTAGGTCCTTGATAAAAAACGGAAAATTGCTTGGTTCGAGTACGACAGAAAGGCAGACGAAATTTACACGAGTTTCTTGTATTATACGAATGAATTTGACTTTGTAAGGTAAATTTACAATGAAATTTTAAAGGTAGAGTATGGTTTTGATAGGAGTACATGAATAAGCCTAGTTGTATTAAGTATATATCATGAAATTTTAAGATACCAAGATTTTGAAAGATTGGATCAGTATGTGCATCGAAAGTGGTTTTAGCTATAGTTCTGATCACTCGTTTCTGTAAAATCTCAAGACGAATAAGGTTAGTTCTGTAAGTAGAGGCCCAAACTAAGTTGCAGTAAAAAAGGTATGGATAGACTAGAGAAAAATATAGTGTTCGTAAGGTTTTCGTGGATAAATAGAAACTGGATTTACGAATAATTCCTGTGCATTTAGAAACTTTATTGGCGACATGTGAGATTTCAGATTTCCAATTTAAATTTTCGTCCATGATTACTCCCAGGAAAACTGTTTCTTTTACTTGATCAATTTTTTGACTATTAATTAAAAGTTGAATAGTTTGATTTGTACGCTTTTGGGATGGTTTAAATGCAATGAATTTGGTTTTTTTCAAGTTTAATGAAAGCCTGTTAGCTCTAAACCATATTGACAACTTTTTTTTGTAAAGTTTATTCTTTGTTTTAATTGATTTAAGAAGAGCTTTCGTTAACCACGGTTTTTTAAAGCGCCTCTGCTTTCTAGTCGCCTTCTTGAGAGGGAAGCAATCGTTATAAATCTTTGTATACATTTCATGAAAGCGTTTGTACGCAATATCTGGCTCATCACAAGTTTTAATCGAAGACCAATCAACAGCTTCTAGTTTTTCAACAAAAGTAGGAATATTATTCGGATTCTTATCTCTAATAAAGAAGGGGTCTTGTCGACATCGATTTACCGACGTGTTAACGTTATCTGAATGAATTGAGAAGACGGGTAGATGATCTGAAATGTCAGTAAATAATAAGCCGCTTCTCGAACGTTCAAAAAAGTTGTTCGCAAAAATATTATCTATTAACGTAGCAGTATGTGAAGTAATTCTCGAGGGACGCGTAATCAAAGGAAAAAACATATTAGAGTACATTCCATCTAGGAATTGGCCTGTGAGATGATGATTTTGGTAGTTAATTAAATTAATATTAAAGTCCCCCATTAGGAAGCATATTTTGTTTTCTCTAGAGATATTACCTAACAACTCATTGTTTGTAGACAAGAAATCGTCGAGTCTATGATTTGGCGGTCTGTAAACAATATCAACAATTATATTTTTTTCTCGAGGTCAGTATTAATTCAATGAACAGTGATTCTACAGTATCAACATTGTGGAGGGACAAATCTTCTCGAAGTTTGAACTCTAGATCGTTTGAAATATAAAGCCCTACCCCACCTCCAGTTCTATTTTGCCTATACTTGTGAAGAAATTTGAAACCATTAATATCGACCGAATGAGCAGAATCGTTTAGCCAGGTCTCAGAAATTCCGATTACATTATTGCAAGTAAAACCGAGCCGCTTCCCATGTCGAAAATCATTTCCTCTCCGGGCCCCGTTTGGTGGAATTCCAGGGTCCTGACACAATTCTGGAAGAAATTGAAGGAACTTGAAAGACTCAGCGAAACATTGCCATCGAGTCTCTACTATGCTATTCTTAGAGTCATATTCATATTACAATATTTCCATGAACGAGGACAAAGAATAATTAAATTTATATCAAAACAAAATTAAATCCCAACAAAATATTAACAAGCATTGGGAGATAACATGCAATCTCATAATAACGAGTGCAAGTCATCCCTCTGCTATTTTGGGGCCCCCCTAAGCGTGCGTCGATGCTTTGGGTCTCACCCCAAGGTTTTGAACTCTTCGCGTTTTATCAAACGTGTCCCTGGATAAGCATCAACTCTGGATCTGTTAGCCTGGGTATAAGCTTAAGACAGCATTAGTTAGTAAATGAAGGCATAATTTGAGACTGTTTGTCATTAACTCCCAGACTCATAGCTAAATTGTCTAAAAACTACGACACATACAGAAAGGACACACAAACAAGAACCAGAGTAGAACCGTCATTTATATCTACCCGATATAGTAGAGGTTACTATGCATGTAAATCTCAATCTACTTAACCTCTTTTCTCTGGTGCAAAACAGCGTATAAGACAGATATACTTGTTTATTTCGTAGATGAAATAATCACCTTCATACCTTTGCACAAGGGAGCGGATGGTTTCCACTTTCCATTGTTACACCTTATGGTGGAAGAACCTTCAAGTCTGAAACCAGAGTTACAAGCGTACTTAACCTTGTCGCCATGGCGACTAAGACCAGGCATTGAATTAAGAACACGGCCGTTGGACGGAACAACTGGTTTCGGACACGAGGCTTTAAAGGAAAGAATAACAAGAAAATAGTTGCTGGGCGCTACCATTAAAACATTAAGAGAAGCAAGAAAAAAATTTGCTTGCCAAGCTTTCCTTCTAAAGCAAAAATTATACCTTTACACTTTGGCGAAACTCCATTCCATTTTCCTGCCACGCATTGTAACACTTGAGAGCCAATAAGGGTGTGACCTTGATCACACCTAAAAGCCACAGTTTGCCCATCAAGAAAGTCGTTCCCTATCCTACTTCCATTAGCAGGGACCCCAGGATCAGGACAGATAGCTAAAAAAATCATTGGTATAGTAAGCAAACACAGTTAACCTACAGTATCAGTATATATTAATCATACATAATAAGCAAAACAATGCATCAGTACCAAAGCAGCGAGGAATAGATGCACTCCATTTTCCATTGATACAAACAGCAGCGGAACTTCCGGTCATTTGGAATCCCGGCTGACAAGAGAATGAAATGCGTTTGTTGTGACCAAACTCGTTTCCATGCCGAACGCCGTTTTGAGGTCTGCCTGGGTCCTTACAGGATGCTAAGATAGAAAGAAAGGTTAATAAATTGTTGTCGTCTAATAATCTGTTAAAGGAAGTAAAGGAAGTAAGGAAAGTAAAAAGAGATAATAGCTTAATCTTTCAGATATTAACTTACATTACTTTAACGGTGCTTCAAAATGTTTTTTCATGATGTAAATGTTGCTGTCAATTTCAACAGATCGCTTTTTCACGCACAGATAGGGAATTCCGTGCAAAGAAACCTGCTGATTTGTTGTGATTAAAACTATATTTTTTTATAAGCTCTATCAATCTAATTACAGCCTTCTAACACAGAAAAGGTGTTCTCTGTTTCAGAAATGTGAAACAGAGAAGTTTTAAAAGTTTGGCTACACACATACAGTTACAGCTGCAGGGAATCTGTTTACAAAGGAACAGTTGACGTTCTTCTCGAATGTCTTTTCATTTTCGCCTCATAATACCTTTACAAACAGGAAGGGTAGAGGTCCATTTTCCCTCATGGCATGTCATAGAATGGCTTCCCTCCAGACTGTACTGAGCAGGACACACAAATGTGACCTTGTTGCCATGTCCAAAGTTAGAGCCAATCCTCTGGCCATGTTTAGGCACACCAGGATCAGAGCAGGAAGCTATAAATATGAACACCAACATGAAAGTTTAAGTTGTTTCAGTTGAAGTTACTCTGATTACTCGCTTCCTTTGTATAAGAGGCAAATTTTCACAATACCGTAAAGTTCCCATAGTAGCGACCCCCGAAAGTAACGTCAAAAGTTTCTGACTTCTACTAAATCCCGAAAATAGCGAGCCCTCGAAAGTTGCGACCCCGCCCCCCAAAAGTAGCGAGTCCCCACTATCGAGACTAAGATTTTTCAATTATAAACATTTCGAATCTTATACCTTTAATGTTTTCCAATTGCAATCTATAGTCAAATTTTTAATGTACATACATTTCAAATATCTTCGTGCATTTACAAATTTATCACGAAAGGCACTTTACATCAAGGAAAACGTGGCATGCCTGAAACTACCATTCGTCGTTGAAGTCAGTTCACAGATTGCGCAGTGCAAAAACTACACCGATATAAAGTTCATATCAAGAGCAGGAACGTTTCTTCAAGTTAAAACTGAAACTTCTGTATGCTGCACAATAACAGAAGTCCATCACCCTGAGGGCTCCTGACTATAAAACGCATTTTTTCTCATGGACCGTTAAAGCACTGAGTTTAGCTTTGCTCGCCCCTGAGTCAGAGAAGAATTCGATTTTCTCTACATCGGCTGATTCACCCATTGCTGCTGATTCCAAAAGTAACGAGGGTTGCTACTATGGGAACTTTACGGTATATACTTTAAGAATATTTCATGACGACGTACACACCTTTACATGCTGGTCTTGTAGAGTTCCACTCTCCTGCTATACAAAACGACGTAGATGAACCAAAAAGATCAAAATTGCTGTCACACTGGTAAGCTACCATTTGACCATCTCCAAAATCATCGCCTATTCTTATCCCATTGCGAGGGATACCAGGATCTCTACACATAGCTGATAAAAAAGGGTTAATTACAAGGGCAAAAATTACCAAACTCATCTCAAACTCAGGCTCATGAAAAAATAGTATGCCGTCTCGGAGGCGTTTATAAGCGTTTACAAGTGCTAGGAAAGAAACACGGCACGGCAATTAGCATCGTAAAACAATCTAAAAAACAAAAATGAATACGAATATCAGTGCATTGAAAAAAGTGAGATTCTAGCAAAATTCACCCCTTAAAGGAGAGAGATGGATAGTGCTTAGCTGTCAATCAATGTTTTGTCAAACCAACTGGTTTGGCGAGAAGCTGCTAGTGAAGGAGAACCCTTTAGCAGTATCTCAACCCCTCCCCCTCCTTCCCTTCCGCCCCTCTTTCTGGTTTAGCTACGTTGCAAAGCGTAATCTAAAACGATGGCTAACCATGACGGACTATTCTGGAAGAGAATTTCGTTGAAATCAGATGGACTCCGAAAGTTCTGAGGATGGTCAGTACTGAACAATTTAACATCTTTTATCTTCTGATTTACGGACTGTGATTGACTGAATGACCCTTGTTCTTAACTGAATCATTTCAAAACAATAATGATGGGACTAGTTAGAACAACGAAACACACCTTGCACTGAAAACAAAAAAAAAATGTTGTCTTCCTTCTTGAGATGGTATTACTCTGTCTGCTTGAGTGCTTGTTAATTATATCACTTAACTTGACAACACATCATTTATACCTCTTCTTCCCAAAAAACACTATAATGTCGCGTTGCGTTCTCACTATAGAAAATCTACCTTTACACGTGGGAATGTCGTTACTCCATTTGCCTTCATTACAAACGATCAGCTGGCTTCCAACCAACCAATAACCTGAACTACAATAAAACTGAAGGTGTTTGCCGTGCCCAAAACTAGTGCCAACCCTCTGCCCGTTTTGCGGTACTCCGGGATCTGGACAAGAAGCTACAAAAAGGGAAGAAAAATAAACAACACTGGTTAGAGTACACCGATACTTCAGCATATCATCACTGATCTCAAAATTGTAACACACTAAATTTACACAAGGGTGTAAGAAAATCTAGAACAACAGCTGATGTCTACTTTGGTTCAGATCCACCGCGACGGAACATAACGAATAACAGGCCACCTGCACTAAGAAGTCACGTGACCAATGCTTCCTTTAAACAATGAATTGGAATCTTGCTGATGCCAAAAATTGACGGAGGGGATAACAGTGATCTTACACCCGAAATTTGAGAGAAAAGGCATTTAAAGGAGATATTTTGTGGCACTCAACAAAGTAGTATGATTTGTATTGGCCGCCATGTTGGAGGGCATACTCTTGCCCTCCAACATGGCGGCCAAAACTGCTTTTTGCTTGTATCTTGTTTAACGTTTGATAGTCACACTCAGATGTGCTGAAAACGTTACCACATCATCTTTTCAACAATTTCCTTGAAGTTTAAGTGCAAAATTTCTGTCCAGAAAGAGGTAATTCATAGTTAAAAAAAAAAAAAATCACATTTTGGTCACGTGACCAGCTACGCACTGACTCATTTTAAGAAAATGGTTCGGGTTTGAAAAACTTAATCACTATCATTTTGTTTAAGACATGACCCACTAATAGTTTTTTGAAGGCAAGTCATATAACTTTCATTTTCATGAAAATGATGTCACATGACCTCTTAGTGCAAATGGCCTATTATCTCTGACGAAAGGAATGATTTCAGGTTCGGTTGTTTATTTGGCATGCTTAGAAGTATGATGGTTCTACGATAGTTGTTACGGGGAGCGGAAAAGAATGTTAATTTATAACACCTTTGCAAGTCGGAACAGTTGAACTCCACACTCCCTTAATGCAGCGGATAACAGACGAGCCAATCAACGTGTAGTTTGCATCACAGGAAAATTCAACTGAGTCGCCATCAATAAACGTATTTTCTCGCCTCCTTCCATTTTGCGGGACTCCAGGATTCCTGCAAGTAGCTAAAGACAAATTGAATTGGTATTACTTTTAAAACTTAAAATTTCGGCGAAGGGTTAGGTGATTGATTCTTTTAATTCACTTCTATTTCTTTTTAAACTTTTTTCTTGCACCCTCGAGGTGTGGGTTGAAAAAATATAAAATAATATTTTTTATGCCGTTGCAAAAGAGTAAAAAAGCAAAACCTACGTTTACAAACCACTATTACCATTCAAATCAACTTACTTTTGCATTGAGGTAAACCTGCGCTCCAAATTCCATTATGACACTTGATTGACTTGCTACCGACCAAAGTAAGTCCGGCATTACACGTGAAGTTCACTACTATACCGTGTTCAAAATCATTACCCTGCCTTACGCCATGTTGTGGAATTCCAGGATCTTTGCAAATTGCTGAGAATAATGAATAATATTTTATTCAGCAATCTACAACATACGGCCAGCTTTCAAGGATTTCTTTTAATACAAATAGATGCTTTGAGTGCTACAGTAGTATAACTTTTTTTAATAGACTCATGAACTCCCCTTGATCGCCGTTCGTTTAATTTTCTGGGTCTTTACAATCTTCTGGGTTCTTCCTAGGTTGTTGTTTTCTTAATTTTACTTCAGTGAGGAGGTGGGGGAGGGTGTTGTTGATATTATATTGCTATGAGCCCGCGAGTCGGTTGGAACCGTAAGGGCCTGGAAACTATATATGATATGTGTGTAGCACAACACCGCGGCAAAACGTCTACGCATGCGCCAGGTTGAGCATTTCCGGTCTCTTTTTCAGTCACACTTTCCAGTCAACGTCTCCCGCGCGCTTCATTCTGTGTGCAGCTTGTGGTTCAGTTGTTCTGCTTTATGCTGCTCGTGTTTTTGACAATTTTGTAGTTATTGAAATTGCTTTTATGGATAACCAGGCACAGATCACTGAAACAATTAGTCGATTAGGTTCAGAAAAGGTAAGATGATAATAACTCAGCGTGTAATTTTGGCTAGAGCGTCAGGTAAACTGATTTTCATTCACGAAAATAAAGTTCTTGACTGTTATTTTTCACTTAACCTGGCTGAAACTAAGACATAGAATTAAAACGTTATCGTTGCAAGCTTGTGTATTGTAGTTCTAATTTTCAGTTCTTCAGTTTCTCAGTCTACATGTGTTAAAGCCGATTCAAACTTTATTTGGAAAACGACGACACACAATCGCTTTGTAGTTTTGTTTACCAGTGGGTTTTACCGTGTTTTAAAACGAAACTCTTCTGGGTTGATTGCCATGAAACATAAGCTTAATTATACTGTTGAGCCGGTTGGCAGCAAGTTGACAACTCTATTTATTTATTTTTCCATTCTCAGAATCAGAGAGCGAAAGCTGGTTCAGTGGCTTTTAGAAGTCGAACTTTTCGTGCCATGTATTTAGCAGCTAGAAGTTTCGTGTTTGCATGAGATGCAGCCGAGCCGCACAGCCTGAAATTATTGAAGTCTTCAACAAAAGAACAACCATGTAAAAGAATTAAATAGGTATTTTCTTGAATGAAAGTCATTTATAGGCATGTTTAGTTTCCCGGTGACTGCAGTCATCAAAGTCAAAGTTGTTATTAAATCCCGCCCATCTTTTGTTTTGAGTTCTTGTTTTCTCTGATAATAAAACAAATTATTGAACGGACTAAAATGTTATTTCCTGGTTTTAGTGTTTTTTATGATAATGATGACGTCTTTATTTTGGTTTCTTTCATAAGTATTGTTATTCTTTTCTTAGTTGTCGCCTTCTCCCAAATTAACTTATGCCAAACCAGTAGCATTCAAGAAAGCCAGTAAAAACAAATTCGTCTTGTCGAGCGCTAGCGACCTGCAAACTTCAAACATCATTTTCACCGTTGGTGCAAACAGATAACCATGTGGTGCAAAAGTTTGAGAATAGAAAAATATATAAGCTTTCGAATGAAGTGATT